CTTTGTCAAGCTGTTACAAACAATACAGGGATACAGAACAATGGCTTAAAGCTCCTGGAGAGCGAAACGTAGCCCTAATAAAATGTTGTTAGTTGCACGTGTGTCCTTTTACCATACATACTGTGGGTAATTCTACCAAGATTACATACCTAGTACTGTGCGTGGGTTTTACTCATCATATCGCAATTAGGTTAGGTGAGATTCGCCAGGAAACAGGACTAAGTATTTCCTGTCGCGTGTCTTAGTCATTTGATGACCCGCCACTGGAGCTTTTGATCATTTGACCGAGGCCTTCCGCTGGCTTATCCGTCCACCACTTCAAAAATGTAATATTAAGTTCATATATCATTTCGCGATCTAATTAGCTTATTTAAAATATTTCCCGAGGTTCTTGCTGTGAACTTGTCTCAGTGTTAGAATGTTAATTAACTGACTAGTGTCAAGTTACCAAGGTCAAGTCTGCCACACTAAGGTCTGATCATCCATGATGAACATTTTTTACCCACAATTCATCTCCTTCATTAAGCCGATGTCAATGTTATGATGAATAATCAAAATATTAAGCTCTATTATCTTTTGTTAACAGAATTTATGCATACAATTTCAATATACATGTATAGTTCATTATAGATTGTAAGTGTTATCCAGTTTTTTTTCGTTAGACCATAAGAGGACTGGCAAGAATGAGGGAAAAAAAAAGAGCTGCGATAGATGAAAGCAGGAGAAAAAAATATGTAGATAAATAGGAAGAGAAAGTCAAGAAAGTTTAACTGGCCTGACTACTTCGGGTGGGTTTTATTTTTTTTATTTTTCTGTGACGAGTGGTATCAAGGATATCCAGAACCGTGTTATATTCCAGTGTTGGTTCGGTTTCAGTCAAGCGATACTGAATTTCATGAAAATAGTTCGTACGCTTCAACGGTTCTTGATCGAAGTCTTCCCTAGATTAGGCGGTCAGAAAACTTCCCCATGTTCATTTTTGTTTTCGTCTTAATTATCGCAATATTTGTAATTTCAGTAGTTTATCTTTTTTTTTCTATCGTTGAATTTATGGACAAAGAGCTTTTACGTCATTCAGCTGACAAACTAAGAGCTTTTACACTTTCATTTACATGCCAAGAGCTTTTACAAAGTCGAATTTTCAGGCTGACTACGGTTGAATTTAATGGCTAAGGATTTTACAAGGTTGGATTTTCAATTTAAGAGCATTTGCACTGCTGAATTTTTAGGCTACACACTGTTATATTACCTTAACACATTTTGAAAACCAGCCTTATCAAACTTATACTGCCTCCTAACAGGATATATAATCCATAACAGTCGACTATCACCTAGGCGCCTATTTCCTGCTAGGCGAACATGGACAGCAGGTGTAAAGAAACTTGCCCATATGTTTCGTCGGGAACACAACCCAAGTTTGTGAGTCTACCACTTAATTAAGACACAGGTCACTTACGTAATCATTTTAAATATTATTTATCAAGCTACGCTTAATAAAGTGAAGTGTTCATGATAGCAAGTTACTCAATATTGGGGTTTCGAATAACGTCGTTTCGTTATAACGCTGATGAGAAAAAATCGAATGAATACAATGATTACAAATTATTGTACAATAAAATTTCGTAAAGCACACGACATAACCATACAAATGCATGACAAACGATGCGGTACAAAAGTGGTCAGCGAGTCGGCCATATTTGTTTTTCAACAGCGTGGTGGTAGGAGGTGCCCCTTACAATTTTAGCTTTGCGAACATTTATTCCTTGGTTTAATCCTGTTGCAATGAGTGCTTTATAAAGGTGCACTGTTCGCTTGTGGCCACAAAAAAAAAAAAAAAAAAAAGTGACATTACAATCAAAACTAGAAGTTTTAAACAGGTTTGTTTATATCAATTAGCCTCTGGTGAAACTGGTTTCATTATACGTCGTTTCGCTTAAAGTCGCACTTTCCAAGAACCTATCGACAACGTTAAGTGACGACTTACTGTATAACGTTGGCCGTCTCCAACATGTATGATGCCTGACTTAAATCTTTAGTAACCCTTAAAAACTGTTCGTCGGGGCCAGGGTATTTGTGTGCCTTTTTTACTGTTTAAGTATTTTAGAATCACGTCACTAGTAACTGATGGTGTGCAATTTGTTTTTATTAAGTGATATGTTAATACTACTACTACTATCACCACCAATACTTCTACCTCTACTTTGTATCGTATATTGTTATCTTGGTCCAAAAAACATGAAAAATTATTTTTCGAAATTTATATTTTTGCCAATAGCAGGAAGTTTTCCTGAAATTTTATGGACCTGAACTTACCTTAATCTTTATTCTACAACCTTAGAAAACAACCTCTAAAGTTTATCTTAGATTCCCAAGCATCTTTATTACCATAGGTAGCGCTTATTGTACTTTTATTACTTTTCTATTAACTAGTTAACTTATTTTTACAATTATACCAGGTAATATGTCTTGATGCGTGCATGTAATGGAGAAAAGTATAGTAACACTAAGAGACCCTTAATACAATCTGTATTATTGAATAAAGTTACATCCTTATGCTTCTATTTTCCCTACATTAATTCTCCACTGAGCAGCGCTCCCTCGTGGCCCGTTATGAGATAACATAAACGCCTAAGGCTGTAAATAGCTGCATTCCATTTTTAAACTGGGTTAGTTAGCCTCGTCTCACACTACCCCGACACCTGCTAGTCCCATTAAATTCTTTAGTATGTTGGTAAATGTTTATTTTATGCTTTAGAAAAACTCGTGTATTATATATATATATATATTATATATATATATATATATATATATATATATATATATATATTATATATATATATATATATATATATATATATAAAATTCGTGCCGAATAATTAAAACTGGTTAATTAGCAAGAACTCATTTAAAATTAAGTCCTTTCTAAAATTTGATCTTTATACGTTTAAAGATATATTTTTTTCATTAATGTTGATGTAAAAAATTTATAATTTTGCACCAAAAGGAACTTAGAAAACAAAACCTAACCTTATTATACAAAGCGCAATTTATTTTAGCCTAACCCAACTAAAATATATTTTAGATTTGTTACAATAAATTTAATACTAAACAAACACAGTGAATATATGTTTTTGACGAATTATTGCATATTTAACCCAAGATCGCAAGTTCTGCCTATTCGGCACGACATATATATATATAATATATATATATAGTATATATAATATATATATATAATATATATATATATATATATATATATATTATATATGTGTGTGTGTGTGTGTGTGTGTGTGAGTGAGAGAAGAGAGAGAGAGAGAGAGAGAGAGAGAGAGAGAGAGAGAGAGAGAGAGAGAGAGAGAGAGAGAGAGAGAGAGAGAGACACTATAGCACGTGTCGACAGTACAAGTTTCTCAGGCTTCATCTAGTTTGCCAAGACAGACTGTGTCTTAGATGCAAAATGCCACACAAAATCACAAAAATAAAAAAGTCGTGATGTCGTAGTATGTAATTTCCCCACAATGAAAGAGAAGCAAATTCAAAGTGTTCTTGAGATACATCACTCATAATTCTGAAGGAATGTTATTGATACATCATGAAAAATCCCTGAAAGTTTTCTTTGACTGTGGTCCCCTCAAGGAAGGTTCCTTGATGTTGGTGAGGGGCTCTTGATTTAGGGAATTGGATCTGTGCTCCAGTTCCCCGAATTAAGCCTGAATGCCTTCCACATTCCCCCCCCCCCTAGGCGCTGTATAATCCTCCGGGTTTAGCGCTTCCCCCTTGATTATAATAATAATAATTTGACTGGTGAAATTATATATACATATATGTATACATATATATATATATATATATATATATATATATATATATATATATATATATATATATAAAGAGAGAGAGAGAGAAAGAGAGATTTTTAATGATGACAAGAATTAGCGATTGCAAACAGCAAGCGTGCGTGAGCGTGTTAGATAGGAGTGAATGGAGACGAATGGTATTTGGGACCTGACGAGCTGTTGGAGTGTGAGCAGGGTAATATTTAGTGAAGGGATTCAGGGAAACCGGTTATTTTATATAGCCGGACTTGAGTCCTGGAAATGGGAAGTACAATGCCTGCACTTTAAAGGAGGGGTTTGGGATATTGGCAGTTTGGAGGGATATGTTGTGTATCTTTATACGCATATGCTTCTAAACTGTTGTGTTCTGAGCACCTCTGCAAAATCAGTGATTATGTGTGAGTGAGGTGAAAGTGTTGAGTGATGAAAGTATTTTCTTTTTGGGGGTTTACTTTCTTTTTGGGTCACCCTGCCTCGGTGGGAGACGGCCGACTTGTTAAAAAAAATACAAATTTACATAGCACATTTACAACTGCGAGAGCTTCATTGCAGTGAAACTCTAGGTACGAGATGAATTAGTTCCGTATTATCTTCGTAACCTTCCCAGAAGGTGCGAAGTTAGTTTCTTCGATCCCCTAAGAACGTGTGGCCGCTCCTCGGAAGGTTTCAATACACATCATCAGGAGTGTTGGTGGGACGGATAAAGTTTCTGGGAAGACCAGCTCCTGTTGGAATCCCAGCTCTCAAAACTTACTATCATCCACAAATGTAAGAAGGACATAATTGCGTCAAGTGAGGCAACACCGTCGTTATCTATTACGAAAAAGTTGTGATTTAGGGAGTTGAAGTTAAAGTTGAAGCATTATTGTTATTATTACATTCATGGGGGGAGGGGTTTGACTTTTTCGGGGGGGGGGGTATGCTAGGTAATTTACACTATGTATGATAATTGTACTTATGTGTACCTGTGTCTAAATAAACTTATTTACTTACATCGTCTGGGGGAATGGTTCGATTCTAAGAAAAGAAAGTTATATTCAAATCCTTAGATTAAGACCTCTCACCAGAGTCAAGGAACCTAACAGGAGAGGTTTAAGCAGAAGGAAGTGTGGTGTAAGCAATCAGTAGTCAGCAGGGCTGGGGATGTGGGGCGATATTACCGAGAATTTAGTTCAGTGTGAGAGCGAGGTCTGAGCAGGGAGTTGCTGCTCATGGCTGAGTGCGTGGCTGGGGGCCGCCAGTCACTGCTCAGCTGCCGTCCAGAGCATACACCTCCACCGCTCCTAGCACGCTGCTGATGCAGCCACGCTAGCCTACCATCGCCACACAGGAATGGATTGTTCTCCACTGTTGTGTCGTCTGAATGAATCTGGGTCTAGAAGTTCCTCAAGGTTGCTGGGTTCTATCTAGATACATCGTACAGAGGTGTTTTAAAACCCCGCTGAAAACGGGACATTTATACGTAAGGCTTATTAAACGGAAGTGCTTCCTCATTAACAGTGAAAAGTTACTTATATGTGCAATAAATCAAAATACAATTAAAACTTGACGTAGAGACTGACTTAGGGTCAAAGCTGAAGTGCAGAAAATATCAAGGAAATTCTCAGCTCTGGAATTTAAATCTGATACCAAGGTTAGTATATTATGAAAAATAATTGCATTTTTATTAAAATTAAATGAAAACGTGTACGTGTAATATATATATATATATATATATATATATTATTATATATTATATATATAATATATATATATATATATATATATGTCCTCACCTAGTTGTACTCGCCTAGTTGAGGTTGCAGGGGTCGAGTCCTAGCTCTTGGCCCCGCCTCTTCACTGGTCGCTACTGGATCACTGTGTGTGTGTACCGAATAGGTAACACTGGTCAATTAGCAAGAACTCATTCAAAAGTATGTCCTTTTTAAAATTTTCTCATACGTTTAAAGATACATTTTTTCATTAATTTAAAACTTAATAATTTCGTACCAAAAGACCCTTAGAAAACTTACCTAGCCTTATTGTAACAAGCGCAATTTAATTTAGCATAATCAAGTGAAATATATTTTAGATAAGTTTACAGTAATTTAATGATAAACACAATGAATTGTATTTTTTTTCGTTAGGTTCAGAATGATTGCGAAATTATTGCATAAACAAATTTTCGCTTGCTTTATTTTGCAAGAAGAGCGTTGCTATTTAAGCCAAAATCGCAAGTTTTACCTATTCGACACGACATTATATATATAAACATGGCTTTGACCATTGATTTTATAATATTATATATATATTGATGTCCATTGTGTATGTGGTTGCTAAAATAATATATTCAGGGTCGTGGTATTAGGTCTTAAGCTACAATCTGTTCAGAGTTTTGGAGAGACGAGCTGCATGGCTCATGCAGGCTTAGAGCTTGTTTTTTTTATATAATAATGGTAACGTGAAACGAGTGCCTGCGGTTATCAACATTTCTTATCATAATTAGATAAATATTTTAAGGTAAATATGAAAACCAAACAAAATCATACAATTTGTAATTCAGCAGGAGATTCTAACACGATCAGTATAATAATATACCTATGTTTTTGTATTGTGTTGATTTATGGTTAAATTTACAGATGCTTTTTAGAAATAGATTTGGAAACAATATTTGTTTTGTTAATTACATGTGCCCAAAATGTTCTGCATACAAAGGGGCTTTTGGCATGCACACCCAACTATTATATTCCTCTGTACAACCATGTATCATGTCAAACTAAACACTCTTCATACATATGATTTTACAAACAGTTCTACACATTTACCCATTGACATGCAATGGTTCGATGAAGCATGGGTTGCGTACACCAAGATTGTGTGTGTGTGTGTGTGTGGTGGTGTGTGTGTGTGTGTGTGTGTGTGTGTGTGTGTGTGTGTGTGTGTGTGTATTCTGCGAATTTATCTTAATCCCTGTTTTAGAGAGTAAAGTATTCGGGAATGGCAGCGTGATTGTAAAATGAAGTCTTAAAATCCAAGTGCAGTCGATAGGTTTTAATGAAGATACGGCAACAATCGAAAATATATAGCTTAGACATCATCCTTTTGGAATTTCTCATCTTAGCTTACCATCTCGTCAAACGTCAAACCAAGAATGCATTTTTCATTTCATATCGTCTTCATTAACTCCACAAATGAGTATTTTAGTTTGACCCCCGAAATACACTCCAGATTTTTGTGCTCTGTCCACGCTCGCGTCTGCAGTCTATTAACTAACATCAAAAAAAAAAAAAATTCTTTTCAAGCAACTCATTCCCTATTAAGTTTATTTTTTTTAGAGAGAGTGTATGTTAGGTAAGGAGACAAAGAGACCCAGCCTAGCTTCCTGTTGGTGTTCCGAGAAACAATAGCTGATGGCGGTGTTGAGGAGGAAGAGGGAGAAGCTGCCGATGATGGGAAAGGAGTAAGGGTAATAATGGGGAACAAGAAAAGATCAAGAAGGTTGCAGATAATGAGCAGTGGAACTGCTGTGGAAAATAGGACGTATTCAAAGATTGCCATAACTGCTTGTTAGTACTGAGATAATGTCAGATAAATAATAACGCCATAAGAAGGCTTGTTAAAAAGTGTAAAATAAAGGAGTAATTAAGAAGAAAAAGTTATCCAACGTTTCGGTATGAATAAGAACGACAAAAATTGGCTTCATTGTCCCTAATTGATATTCAATGAGTGACGGTACAACTACGCATTAGCAGCACTAATTGAGAAATTATAATTAATACCTTATAATTTATCCAGGAATTACTGGGATGGCCCGACTACCAAGCAACACCGACGACAATACATTTAAAAACATCCCCGTTTATATTCATTCTGTTAATGATCATTCTTGTCATGATAGCATTTTAACATTTCGTGTTCATATCTGGATAAATAATCTCCCTGAATATCAAATTGGGTATATCCTCAATGACAAGACATAAGGGAAGCGGACGACAAGGCGCTATCTAGCAACTTCCAGACGTATTTTTTTGTATAATCTCATTCATGGAATCTGTCTCCGCTGAGTGTAATAATTATCTCTCTGCGTTTCGTTTCGTTTTCATCAGTGTGCGTACCATGGGATCTTACAAGTAATCATATATGGAAGCCCATTAATCTCAGATTTCATGGAGCGTACAATGATATGTCATTTCAGACAGAGCCAAGGTGATTATAAAAATTATCACTGTAATGTGTTTGCATTTATTTCATTCAAATGCAGTATACGTAGCCTTTCTTCGTTAAGTGTACCACACCGTGATTTTCAATTCAGAGTTTTAACTTACTCTCTAATTCATTACTGGATTTTTCAAGTATAGTATCATAACACGGAGGAAACAGTGCAAAATGCACAGCCGCAGTGTACGAGTGCGTAGTGATCAACGTTACCAGGTGGTCCCGCAGCTTGTGTAGAATGTTGATAAGCTAAGCCAGCTCTTCGTGGCACAACCGACCTGTTCCCCGCAAAATTTCCTGGAATCGCTACCGCCTCCCCGGTGTTCCAATATTGTGTTGCGATCCCCTCTCCTTTGGGGGGTAGGAGGGAGGGAGAACGTTAAACCATCTCCTTTAACTCTTCGTCTATTGTTATCTCCTCATTGTCAGTTCAAATTCCTCTTTGAAAATAGTTGCTCGTGTGAGTGAATAAATGCGTGTACTCCCGTGTATGTGGCTGAAGGGGTCGAGTCTCAACTTTTAATTCGTCATAAGTGTGTTGATATATATATATATATATATATATATATATATATATATATATATAATATATATATATATATATATATATATATATTATATGTTGTGTGTGTGTGTATTCACCTAACTGTAGCTGCAGGGGTCGAGACTCAGCTCGTGTGTGTGTGTGTATGTGTAATGAGAGCTGTGAAGATGGTGTGAAACAGCGTCAGTAGGTTCAATTAGCGGTTGACGGCAGTAGCGAGGTTGTCTAGGTTATCATTAAAGTCAGGGCTAACTCTCTCCCCGCTTCCAGGAAACACCCAGCAAAATAGGCGGCTCTAAATTTAACCACAACTCCCTTACCGGCGATATACAACACGCAAGGACGAGAGACGCTAACATATATCTCTCCAGACATTGGAAGAATGTTACTGAACCCTGTGACATAGCTAGGAATAGCAGCGATGGCTTCCTGGGCCGTGGTCGCATATGGTAGAGCTTGCCAAGCACAACATATTTGCAGTCTGCTGAACTGTGTCTGGCCTCTGAGCTCCAGGAGCCCGCCTGGCCAGGGGCTGCACCCCTCCCATCATCTTTAAACCACCTGTTGCTGTTCTTCCTATCCACTCCCCGCCTACACTTATCACTAAACTTTCTTTCGCTAGGCAAACATACTACGCTTCACCACGTCAATCACAGTCTCACTGTTGTCACACTAGCAGTATCTCCAGGAAATACATTATTCCATTTTGTTAATTTGGGAAAATCACATTTTACATAATGTTTCAAGCAGAATTAAGCTAATCATTTGGTCTTGAAGTTGAAAATCACTTGGAAGTTGATGTCTAGAAGATTACAGATAGTTATTTTGTTAAGCGTCAGTGTAGCACTGCTCATTATATTAAACATGAAAAAGAAAATGTAGGAGTACGTAGTCATTTTATTCAAAAATCGAACAAAACTAGGTGGTCTCACGTAACGTGCGTTCAGTGAAAGTAGTGAGGGACAACTTGGCAACCAGCGCTCGCCGGCAACTCTGTCAGCTGATTCACGGAATGCGATGCTGCCGGCCCTTGCTGGCGGACGTACGACGTGATCCTTACTATTATTATCCTCTTGACCATATATTTATCAATTTTATTTGTCCCTTTCATGGTGTATATGCACTAGGACTGTTATTACCGATTTAATATCACGGTAACGTACAGAAATATGTAAGGAATGTTAGAATGGAAGACAAGGCTGTGCCGGACAACATGCTCCTCTACCGGGAAAAAACTTTCTAAGGGCATTTCTTAGTAAACCATAAGGGGAGAGGCGTGAGTGATACGCTATATTGGGGGACTTGCACACTGCTCCCACGTCTCGCATGCTGCTCACAATTGATTTTTACTTGTCATGGGGATGTTATTTCTTAAATATAGAACATGTGCAGTGACTTTCAGGGAGGAAGGGTTTCCGTAGAGCGAAGGAGTTTGAAGTTTCCTGAGAGCAGGACACTGAACATCCTTATGGGACAACGCCAGTGTTCATTAGAAGAGTGGTGACGTATATAGCGACGTCACAAGACGGACTTAGTAAGAAGCTCGAATGAATCAAGCAGGCGAGCACCAGTGCCACAATTTACCCTTACGCCTTATTCAAATACTCTCTAAATTATACGTAACCAGAAAGCTTATTTATACGAAGTAAACATGAATGTGGCTCTGAAACGAATGTAACGCTCTATAGTCACGTCACGGCAGTTATCACAAGGTCACTTGCGTCATATATACGTAACAAAACGCGAGATGGGGAAATGATTGAGTATATCCGCAGTGTACGGCTTATTCTACATGGTAGTTAAAGAGTGGAAATGAAAGCTAGAAAAGGGAAAAGGGTCACACAAGAAAGAGGAAGAGGTCACACAGAGAAGGGGAAGGGGTCACACAAAGAAGAAAGAAAAGGGAAGGAGTCACACAAAGATTATCAGAAACAAATGTCTCCCTTCTCTCTCTCTCTCTCCTCCTCCCCATTACACCCCTTCCGTCTCCCTCCCCCTCCCGAAGCCCCGCCTGGTAAGGGCGGGCCGGTGACTGCCTTCTCAAGTATTCTGGGAACTGTTCGGGAACTCCCTCTTCAGTAGGCATCGTCAATTCTGCCGGGAGTCTGTTCGTCACACACACAACATACGAGCTCACTCTGGGATTATTTTCTCCTAAGTAATTTTTAAGGCTTTTTTTTTTTTTAGGTGATGAGGTTTCAGGGAGTGGATTTTGATGAGTACTTTTAGTTTCTTTAATGCGGGATTTCAATTATATTTATATATATATATATATAAAATATATATATATATATTTATATATATATTATATATAAAATATATATATAAAATATATTGTGTGTGTGTTGTGTATGTACTCACCTAGTTATGGTTGCAGGGGTCGAATAAGGCAAGCGAAAATTTGTGTATGCAATAATTTCTCAAAAATCTTAATGAACCTAACGAAAAAAATATATTTCATTGTGTTTTATTATTATTAAATTATTGTAAACTTACCTAAAATATATTTAATTGGATTAGGCTAAATTAAATTGCGTTTGTTATAATAAGGATAGGTAGGTTTTCTAAGGTTCTTTTGGTACAAAATTATTCATATTTACATTAACATAAACGGGATCCACCAGAGGTTGACCCCGTTTTTAAACGTATAAGAGAAAATTTTAGAAAGGACTTAATTTTAATTAAGTTCAATAATATATTGAAACATTGAGGATTCCAATGAAAAAGACTCACTTTTTTGTCATAAATTTATACAATTTACTATCAGTGTCTCCCTAAAATCATTGCATTTTTCTTGCAACCAATGTATTACTGCATAATAGTCTGTTAAATCATATATAGTATAGATTAAGCTTCTCTTGCTGTTACAAAGCTCGTGATGGCTTCCAGTATGTCAAGAGTGTTCTCACATGCTTGCATATTTTACCCATGATATATGGCTTCCAGGAGGATTCCAGGCTTTCACACATGTTCATACGCATCCAAGAAATGCATAGTTGGTATATCTGTTTACACCAAAGCAATGCATCAAAAATGAGGAAGTTTGTTTCAAATATTTCGTCTTAGTAACACGAGGCTCGTATTAATTATGTTGTAGTTTTGGTTATGTGGTAGTTTATATTGGTTATGTGGGAGTTCGTAATAAGATACGTGGAAATTTATAATAATTAGTGGACTTGTTTTGTGGGAGCTTGTTATAATTATGTTAAATTTGTTTTAGTTATATTGAAGTTTGTATTAGTTACTTGGAATTATGTATTAATATTGTGTATATGTGCTTGTATCAGGTATGTGGGTGTATTCGTTATGTGGAACTCAATTACCGTATGTGGGAGTTCGTATTAGCTATATGGGAGATGGTTTAAACTACACGGGGGTTCGTTTAAGTTATATACCGGTAGTTATATACCGTATATGAGGATCTATTAACCCCTGTGGAGTTTGTACAGTATAACATTGAGTTACTGCACTAAATTTACGCAGTTAGCACCATGTGCTAATTACGTTAGTTATACAGCGATAATGTGATGCAAAATAAGGTTAATGCAGTGTAACTAGAGTACTTAAGAGGGAGGACTGAGGGTTAGTGTACCAAGCAGTGAGTGTTGCGTGTGGGATCAGTTATTGATGAACTAACCTTCTTCGAATTACTTTTTCGCAGAACGGAAAGCTGTGAGTTGGGAAGGGTCGAGCTTTCTCTCTAGATACACAAAACAAAACAGTTGTACACGGCAACACACAAACATTCTGCTACGGCTTAATCGTGTATAAAACCTGGAGTCTCTGTGTAATGAAGAATAATTGTGTAGTGTAAAGGAATGTTTATATTCGTCTCATAACTAATAAATTGGAAATGCAAAAAATGGACATTTGGTCCGTCATGGATTTTATGTTGTGGATTGTTCCAGCCACATTATTTTGACTATTTTTGTTCATATTGTAGTTTGGTTTAATACTAACATTTATTTTGCAGGTTCTGTTCAACATGTTGGTCTGCCCTGGCTGCCACATCGGGCTGTCCCCGGCCATGCCCATGCCTCAGCCCGCATCCCACACGATGACCCTGCCCGTGTCAGCCCCCTGCAGCGCCCCCGCCCACTGGCTGACCACCACCCACCTCACCCCTGGACATGTCCAGCCGCCCTACGTGTGTGGTCGCATGTTCCAGATGGGCGGGCTAGCTGCGGTGCGCCCCTGCCTGCCCGTTCCGCACGATGCCTGCCACGTCGTCTGCTGCCTCGCCTGCCCTCATTCCTGTCCCACTCTGCGTTCCTGTGCCCTCACTACCAAGCTTCCCTGTGCAGTACCTGAAGTTCGCAGCTCACTGCACACTTCCGGGGGCGGGTTGGTGGAGACAGAGTCTGAGACTAATCGCAGCACCTCCCCAGACACTAAGGTCAATCACCAAGCCTCCCTCAACCTCCTCCTGAGTGCGCCCTCTCCAGCCGCCGCCACCCCCAACACCAGACCCCAGCCCGACGTCCCTCCAGCACTCAGACAGAGCCCCCCGCCTCCCCTCCCCAAGGAAACCGACAGCGTTTGCGACAGCCGGGTACTGACGGCGACAAGACACGCTCTGGAGGAGAGTGGCTGGTACTATGGTGCTATATCCTGGCTGCAGGCGGCGGCCATGTTGCAAGACACTTCCGTCGGTACTTTCCTGCTACGGGATTCCGCTAGTTCCCAGTCTGTTAACTCCCTTAGGGGTCAGACCACAAACCCCCACCAGTGTAGATTACCAACTACCGTGCGGCAGGTTCAGGCTCGACTGCACGGGACACAGTCAGAAAAACATGCCAGAATTCAACGGCGTGGTTCAGTTAGTAGAGCACTACGTTAGGGTAACCTCCACGCAGGTGTGGGTTGACCACGAGGGCAACACCTTCAGCCCCATTGACATCAGACGGCCGCTGCGGAAAAGTGTTCCCTCACTGCAGCATCTGTGTCGACTCTCCCTTAACACTAGCAACACTACCACCCCTGATGCAACCCTTCCTCCTGCCCTCAGGAGCTTCCTCAGGAGATATCCTCACAAGTGCTGACCCTGCCTCTACTTCAACGGACATAAATAACTGTGATCAGAGACGCTGTTCCTGCTCTGAGTCCTGTAGGGAACCTGTGTAGGTGTAACACCCCACTGCTCTCGGAGGTCCCAAAGGACTGTCTCCACCATGGTCACTTCCTCGGGTTGGCTAATGGTGGTTTGTTCGTTCGGGAAAAGGCCTAATGCGGATCTTTGTCAGATGATCCGCTCAGTGAATAAGTAACCGCTGGCGTACCGGTGCTGGGTATCAGCGATGAAGTAACCGCTGGCGTACCGGTGCTGGGTATCAGCGATGAAGTAACCGCTGACGTACCGGTGCTGGGTATCAGCGATGAAGTAACCGCTGACGTACCGGTGCTGGGTATCAGCGATGAAGTAACCGCTGACGTACCGGTGCTGGGTATCAGCGATGAAGTAACCACTGGCGCACTTGCGCTATTTATCAGGGATGAAGTAACCACAGGCTTACGGGCTGTGTACCCTAGGTTAAGCATCCACCTCGTTAAAAATAATCACGAGGTGGTGGTCTTAAGTGCTGACCTAGCCGCTCTCGAAATAAAGTCTGAAGTTTGACCACAAACTCGACTCGAGCTCCTGCTTAAGGGTGCCCAAAAAAAAAAAGACTTACGTGCGTACTTATGTGCGTCTGTGATCTATTTACACATATGGTAGCTATTCAACGGACCAGTATTCTTCTCCTTCAGTTCATTTCCACAGTTTATTTACATTCTTCCCGTAAGAATCACGATTCTCAAAGTTCTTGTAGTAACCTTTAACAAGAAAACAGAAAAGCATTTCTATGATCTCAATAGAACCAAGCCTAAGCATTAGAAATAAGGCTTCCTGTGTTGTGACTGCCACTGTCACAAGTATGATTGAGTTGCAACTTTAGGGTCAGTCTTGTGTCGTAGATGTGATGCTCATTGTGGTTATCTTTAAGCATCAAGGTTGGAGTTTAGAGATGTATATGGTAATGACATGTCCTGCTCATTAACACATTATTATATCGGTTTAGCAGGAGTGGGTTAGCCATACTTGCCGCCGCATACCATGTAACAAGCGTAGACTGGAATGCATTAGTGCCTTCCTGGGTTCGTGAAACGCTTCCTCATCTCTGGGCCACAGTATTATAGTCTCACTCTTACATTAAAGTTTTTGTTAGAACGATGGGACTGCATTCACAGATGTTTCGCAAGATCAACTACAGAGGTGAGGAAGTTCACGTAAGGTTAAATTTAGATGGATCAGGTCAAAGATCACTCGTGTACAGGGGGTGTAGCAGGTCACCTATATGGTAATCTAACAATGTGGTGAAATGTATTGATGGAAAAAACGTAGGTGACTTAGAAATGTTGACTCCACGCGGAAGGGTAGTTTTCCTAGGTGATGCCATTTATGCTTTAGTATTATTAAATAGCTCAGCCTATTTATTTATAGTTATTTATTTAGATTTCTCCCATTCCTTCTTAATCACAGTGACTGAATACCTTTCAAAGGCTCTCACGCACAAAAGGTTGGAAGTCTACTATGCCATAACACTTAAGATACAATGTATTATTAGTATTTAGTTATGCTAAAGAAAAAGTGATGTCGCGCTACGCGGCTGTCACCAGAGCTTCCAGTTTCTGTTAGTGTCAACATTCACTTGTTTCTCTTCCTCGTGTATCGGGCGTAGCATAGAGACTTCACAATTTCTTTACTCTTGTACCATAGGTTGAATGTTTCAGGCAAGAAAGACGAATATAAGTCAGTCATTATATGAGCTGTGATGTACGGGGTGATAGGCGGCAAAGGCGATATGCACTTCTTGACTCCAGTCATGTCTGGCCAAGTTGTGATCCCATACAAAGGCGGTGTTGCCCGCTGGGCTGATTGTACTCGTATTCCAACACACACACACACACACACACACACACATTTTAACCGCCATTAAATTAATTACGTACTCACACTCGACTCCCTCTCTGCATTCAGTGTATATGGAAATTTTAAGACTACATTGCAAACAAATTAATGCTGAAAGCTCCTTTTCTCACTGGCGTGGCTCTCGTATATATATATATATATATAAATATATATATATATATATATATATATAATATATTATTATTATGCACACCTACATAAGCAGGTTATCTTTCAGTAGTACGTAAATATGTCTGAGCGAGAAGTGGATGTGTCTTGTGCCGCGGGCCACCACCAATAGTTTATAAGGGCGAGTGCTTGCTTGCGTCAGTCATACTGTCAGGAGGGTGATCATTAAAAAAAAAACTTGTAAGAAAATAGTAAAATGGGGAAACTATTTTGTATCAGCAACGTAGAGTGGAACACGGAAAGAACAAGACAAAAAAAAAAAAACTCTGGTTTTTTATATTTTTGAAAAATAAGATAATCACGTCTCGTGTTGGATGACTACCAACTCCCAAAAAAAAAAAGGTTGCAGTATATGGGTTTATTAGGTAATATACAAAACCTTAATTTTTAGTTATTCGTGTCAGCTGTGGTGTGTGGATGAGTGTGGACGACCTTTCTTACCTCATAACCTAATGTTTGGGCAGTGGTGCGCCTGGAGGTCCCCACAATATAATGTGTATTTATGTACCTTACCACAAGTCATTGGTGAATAAATATATTTTCACGTAGATTTTTGTCTCATTTCTCAGCCTTTGATATATATGAAAATTCGCAGACAACTTCAGGGGGGACCTTGAGTTTTCCCTGAAACAAGTTTATTCTTTTCTCTGAGGATGAGGGTCCCCAGGACAGTTCTAGAGGTGGTACCTCCCTATATTTAATATATATATAAAATATATATAAAATATATATATATATTTTATATATTATATGCAATAAGATCACAGTAAACAGGTGATTTCAGAATATGCAAAACAACCACTCTGAAAGAATAGAGAAATTCCAAGCGCTTTCGTGACTACTCACATTATCAAGGAACTATGAAAGTAAAGCATCCAAGGAAGGTATATAAAGGGTCTGGCCAACACCTCACTATCAGATCCCACAACAGTTAAATACCTGTCGTGCGCCGGCAGGTGCGGATCTGATAGTGAGGTGTTGGCCAGACCCCTTTTATACCTTCCTTGGATGCTTTACTTTCATAGTTCCTTGATAATGTGAGTAGTCACGAAAGCGCTTGGAAATTTCTCTATTCTTTCAGAGTGGTTGTTTTGCATATTCTGAAATCACCTGTTTACTGTGAACTTATTGCATATAATATATATATATATATATATATATATTATATATATATATATATAATATATATATATATATATATATATAATTTTTTTTTTCAACAAGTCGGCCGTCTCCCACAGAGGCAGGGTGACCCCAAAAAAGAAAGAAAATCCCCAAAAAGAAAATACTTTCATCATCAGTTTAGAAGCATATAGGTATAAAGATACACAACATATCCCTCCAAACTGCTAATATCCCAAACCCCTCCTTTAAAGTGCAGGCATTGTACTTCCCATTTCCAGGACTCAACTCCGGCTATATAAAAACAACAGGTTTCCCTGAATCCCTTCACTAAATATTACCCTGCTCACACTCCAACAGATCGTCAGGTCCCAAATACCATTCGTCTCCATTCACTCCTATCGAACACGCTTATGCACGCCTGCTGGAAGTCCAAGCCCCTCGCCCGCAAAACCTCCCTTACCCCTTCCTTCCAACCTTTTCAAGGACGACCCCTACCCAGCCTTCCTTCTACAGATTTAAATGCTCTCCATGTCATTCTACTTTGATCCATTCTCTCTAAATGACCAAACCACCTCAACAACCCCTCTTCAGCCCTCTGACTAATACTTTTATTAACTCCGCACCATCTAATTTCCACACTCCGAATTTTCTGCATAATATTTACACCACACCCTTAGACAGGACATTTCCACTGCCTCTAACCGCCTCCTCGCTGCTGCATTCACAACCCAAGCTTCACACCCATATAAGAGTGTTGGTACTACTATACTTTCATACATTCCCTTCTTTGCCTCAATATATAACGTTTTTTGACTCCACATATACCTCAACGCACCACTCACCTTTTTTCCTTCATCAATTCTATGATTAACCTCATCCTTCATAAATCCATGCGCCGACACGTCAACTCCCAAGTATCTGAAAACATTCACTTCTTCCATACTCCTCCTCCCCAATTTGATATCCAATTTTTCTTTATATCATTTGATACCCTCATCACCTTACTCTTTTCCATGTTCACTTTCAACTTTCTACCTTTACGCACACTCCCAAACTCATCCACTAACCTTTGCAATTTTTCTTTAGAATCTCCCCTTAAGCACAGTATCATCAGCAAAAAGTAACTGTCAATTCCCATTTTGTATTTGATTCCCCATAATTTAATCCCACCCCTCTCCCGAACACCCTAGCATTTACTTCTTTTACAACCCCATCTATAAATATATTAAACAACAATGGTGACATTACACATTCCTGTCTAAGACCTACTTTTACCGGGAAGTATTCTCCCTCTCTTCTACACACCCTAACCTGAGCCTCACTATCCTCATAAAAACTCTATACAGCATTTAGTAACTTACCACCTATTCCTTATACTTGCAACATCTGCCACATTGCTCCCCTATCCACTCTATCATATGCCTTTTCTAAATCCATAAATGCAATAAAAACTTCCCTACCTTTATCTAAATACTGTTCACAGATATGTTGCAATGTAAATACTTGACCTACACATCCCCTACCCACTCTGAAACCTCCTTGCTCATCCGCAATCTTACATTCTGTCTTACCTCTAATTCTTTCAATAATAACCCTCCCCTCAAGGAAGGTTCCTTGATGTTGGTGAGGGGCTCTTGATTTAGGGAATTGGATCTGTGCTCCAGTTCCCCGAATTAAGCCTGAATGCCTTCCACATCCCCCCCCCCCCAGGCGCTGTATAATCCTCCGGGTTTAGCGCTTCCCCCTTGATTATAATAATAATAATAATCAATAATAACCCTACCGTACGCTTTTCCTGGTATACTCAATAAACTTATTCCTCTGTAATTTTTAAAATCTCTTTTGTCCCCCTTCCCTTTATATAAAGGGACTATACATGCTCTCCGCCAATCCGTAGGTACCTTCCCCTCTTTCATACATTTATTAAACAAAAGTACCAACCACTCCAACACTATATAACCCCCTGCTTTTAACATTTCTGTCATGATCCCATCAGTTCCAGCTGCTTTACCCCCTTTCATTTTACGTAATGCCTCACGTACCTCCCCCACACTTACATTCTGCTCTTCTTCACTCCTAAAAGATGGTATACCTCCCTGGCCAGTGCATGAAATTACCGCCTCCCTTTCTTCCTCAACATTTAAAAATTCCTCAAAATATTCTCGCCATCTACCTAATACCTCCCTCTCTCCATCTACTAACTCCCCTACTCTGTTTTTAACGGACAAATCCATACTTTCCCTAGGCTTTAACTTGTTTAACTCCAAAATTTTTTCTTACTTTCATAAAATTTCTTGACAGTTCCTCTCCCACCCTATCATCTGCTCTCCTTTTGCACTCTCTCACCACTCTCTTCACCTTTCTTTTACTCTCCATATGCTCTGCTCTTCTTATAACACTTCTGCTTTGTTAAAACCTCTCATAAGCTAACTTTTTCTCTTTTATCACAACCTTTACTTCATTCCACAAATCACTCCTCTTTCCTCCTGCACCCACCCTCCTATAA